TTTCAGGCATGTCAGGGCCCAAACAGTGTTGTAGGCGCCGACATTTGCCCTACAGTGTTGTGGGCGCTGTCATTTGCCCTCGGGCACGGATCCTTACAGAAGCTAACGACAACCGCTTCTGATCCGTAAGAAACTTCGCATCACCTACAAGAAAAACGTGCGATCCACCATGTTGCTTTCGCTCTCCTCGTGTGGACGCTGATTAGCACCATGGTCCGCCATGCACACCGCCCATGCCATGGAGTGATGGGACGTGATAACCCACGACAATGTCGAGAACATGACATTTTCAATGACAGACACTCCAAATAGAGTCTCTGCCGGGATCAGCGGCCATGCGCCCCGCGTGGGGCTATCCCTGCCATCTCCTGCCATGTCAACGGGGCCCGCACAGAGGAAAAGGAAGACCCGGGGTCCTTTAAAGACTTCCTTTAGCTCTCGTTTTACTTTTCTCTTCCATCTGTAATCAATGTTCTTCCTTGGCCTATAAAAGGGAAAGCAGGGCACCCACTAAGGGGATCGATTCACCGCATCACATAAGACACTACATCACAACAGAACCACTAGTCTCGAACCTCGAGCACATAGCGGAGCAGCAACCAAGCTCTCAGCGTCCATTCGACCTTTCCATCAGAGACTTGGGACCTGTCTCTCTCACCCGTTTGTAACCCCTACTACGAACTTTTCAGTGCTAATAACACGAGCAGCAACCACGAACTGGACGTAGGGATATTCTGCCCGAACCAATATAAACCTTGTGTTTTTTTAGCACAATATCCGAGCCAAACGCGCAATAACATAAATTTACTCGTTGGTGTTTACTCGAAAAACTGACACTATCCTTGTCCTTCCTTCGCTATCTCTTCTCTATTGATTGTCCTCTTTTTTAACTTGTGTCTTGGACTCTTGTCTTCTCTTTTAGGTCTTCGAGTAAGCTCCAAAGGTCTTATATAGTCTCGTCTTTTTTGATAAAGTAACAGTAGCTTTTGTTAAACAGTAGTTATTTATGAAAAAAATGAAAAGATAACAAACTGAACTTTACAACGTTAGGAAGAGTATCTATCTATACGTATATATAATATATTTTGATCGAGGAATCCGGACACCCAACCACAGTTGATGACGCAAATGTGACGCACGTAGAATTTTATACACCGGATATATAGCTAATCGCCGTAAAAGATCTCTGTTTGGCACAGACGGGTCTCTCAAGTTGAGACATCCTCCGGCACGGTAGATTAGGGACCATGAAATGCTTTTCCTGCTTTTCATGGCTACGAATGAAAAATTCGCCGCAAAATACACTTAATTTTCACAGCCTTAAAGGTCAACCAGCAGATTAATCACGCTCCTGCTAGACTGGTCATCTGCTCTAGGAACTTTTGGCTTTTAACGAAATTTGACCGGCTTACCGTCGAGTCACACACTGTCCTAGAAGCATTGACCGACCAGTAGTGGTCCAGCACAGGGCACTCGTGAAGCTAAGGCTGTTTGGTTCCAAATAAGTCAGATACTTATAAGTTAAAAAGTGAAATAAGTGACTTATTTTGTCAAACACCACCAACTTATGAGTCACCTCTGCTTATAAGTTTTAAGTTGGTTCACCCCTGCTTAAAACTTATAAGTCACTCTTTTTCGCGTGGCGCCCATACCTTTAATGAATTTATAAGTCATCTAGACATGACTCATAAGTCACTGATTTTCAATCACCTAACTTAATAAGTCACCTGACTTATGGAAACCAAACATGACCTAAGCTAAGCTGTCTTTCTTAAACAGCGCGAGCGAGAGTGGCAAAGAAGGATTAGTTAATTTTGTATCAAGAAAAGAACACGCTCGCCGAAGAAAATCGAAATACTCAACAACCATACAACAAGTTTATGAACTTGTTTACTCCACAGTTTTCTTTTTCCATTTGTGATCCTAACATTTTGGCCCTGAAAATCTGGAGGGGGGTCAATTCATAGTGACGAGCGAGGACATCAACTTCCAGAAGCGGTGATGAGTTTCTCACGCAAAGCAACATCAACAAAGAGACTGCTGCTGCTGCTGCCTCACGAAACTGAAAGATGAGCACTTGAGCAGGTAGACAAATCCAAACATACTAGTGTCCTGTCCAGCGCAGAGACAGGTCGCAACGCAACCCTGGATGCCAATCAAACAAACCCCTAACGATAAACAAACGGAGAGGGACAGCACTAGGAGCTGGAAAGCCATGTGGATGTGGGACAGGGCAAAGCCATATGAATGGGTAGGGCAGCGTGCCACAGCAGAGCACTTTTGAGTGCAAAACCCACAACAAGAGTCACCACAGCAATCAGCAGCACCATTTCCAACTGTAAAATATAAATCATTGTGCATGCTGCTAATTGAGTGTTAGTATTTTGGTGGCCTGGGACTGGGAGGGATCAGCTTTGTACTTTGGAGGACCACCCCACTACTTCCTTGCTTATAGCCTTTGTCGAAGGAGAGCTACGGTGGAGCGCGAAATATGAACCATGGAAGCCCAAAAGATGTAGCGCGGCTTTGCATGCAGTATAAATATGAATGAATAAATGAATGAATTTTGCCGACACGGCGACACTGGCACACTTTGTTGGGTTTGATGAAATTTTATAGGAAAGCTTTCGGATAAAGATGTGTGCAAAGATAGAAATAGAAAAGAGTATAAGGGAGGAGTTTCCCTGAAGTTCCATGTGGAACGGCGTTCATGTTCTTTTTCTACAGTAGGTTGAGGTTTTCAGGCGTCCGGATAGTCGGAGTCGGTACTCGGTACCGAGCAGAAGATTCGTTCAACCAATTTCATGTGGAATAGACGAATAGTAGTCACATGTGCAGTGGCTCTGTCTGGTGGATATTCCTGGGCAAACACCAACCATGCAAATATGCAATGCAACCCTGGTTGGTGAAAAATGTTTGACTCCAGAGACCACAGGGTAGCCAGTGGAGTAGCAACCCGTGCTAGTGCGGTAGTGGGCCACTCTGGGCACGCTCAAACTTCTTGAACCAACTCGTCCTTTTGAAAAATCTTGTATGAACTCACCCAGATTCTTAAGAGTCAGGCAAAAAAAAAAACATTTGATGAAGAATCTGAAAAGTTATTCAATGAAGCTGAAAACAACTCCGTTGGATTTAGCTCAAACGCCAATTTTGCGGTTCCATTTTCCGAAACACCAAAACAGTTGAACTCATTCTCCGATTTATTTATTTATTTATTATGTACACAGTTGACCTTGGTGCCGGACGTTATGCCACCATCGATAGAGACGCGTTACATTTGACCAATTTTTGTGGTGCACTGACGACACGTTACGGAAGTGCTACGCAATGTGCTTCCTTTTCTGTGGTATCAGCGTTGCACACACTTCAAATATCTGATTGACTTCAAGTATGAGATCTTTTACTATGGTTGGAAAAGTATCTTGTACCTCTGGGTACTTTTATTTTTCCTATTTTTTACTAACTAATTAAGAAACATTATTTATTAAATATAATTTGTCTTATTGAGGGTATTTACGTAACTGAGGTTATGCCCTTCATGTAACCCTCTCACCCGGCCCCTCTGCAACATCGTTAAGCCTCGAAGCTCGCTTAATAATGGTTGTGAAAGACCAGTGTTCAGCATCTTTGATTTGATCCCCTGAGACGGCTGCTGTAACCAGAAAGCCGCCAACGTGCTCGTCTCCGTGGGCGCCAAGGCCGGCGTCCTCGTCTTTGGCCGTCGTGGCGGGCGCCGTGTGTGTCAGGCGGCCGTGTTGGCCGACGCCGCACATGCCTCCTCGTCGTCTTGCACAACATGATGTTCTGCTGCGCAGAGCCGTGCACGGCAAGCAGAGGGGTGGGGCACCCAAGGCGTGCCGCGCGACGGCGAGGTCGCTGGCGACGAGGTCTCAGCTCGCTGGAGCATCGAACGGCGCCACGGCCGAGAGTGCTCAGCATGGACCAAGCGGTGGGACTAAAGCAGGCTGCCATGTCAGAATCCAAGCGAGCCGTTTGAGCAGGAGCACGCAACAGTGGTGATCGACATACCGACACCGTCCGCTGACATTGAGCATCCTCGGGCGACGACGGCCAGATGTTGCAGTGCCACCGGCGGATCATATGCTGCTCCCATCAGGGTGACTACCGTGGACTGCGCGCCACGAGGATGTTGTGGTGGCAAGGCAAAGGAGACAGCCGCGTGAGCGCAAGGACGAGCTGCAGTAGCAGTGGAGGTGGAGTTGTGCGTGATTCTCCTAAGAAGGCGTGGCAATTACCAATTTTCCCATAACCAAAAAAATAATAAAATAAAAAAAATTTGGTCCCATATATTTTGGTATTTGCCCCACCCGTACTATCCCCACTAATTTAGTACCTCTAGATACTTTCATATTGGTACCTACTATTTTTTCACCGTCTCATCTCGTCTAATGGATGGTTCATGTTTTTTCCAACCATTATAAAATTTCTCATGATTGTTTTCTTTCATATCGGCCCTTTGGTTTTCAAAGGGCCCATCTATATTTTTACCACTCTTTCTATCTTAAACGAAAGGGAGCACTCACCGTTCAAAGAAAAAGTATTCAATAATCATCCAGTTTGTCGTATTTTTTCACCAACTGAACAGTATTTTTCTCTCACAACAAATCAGCCAACGATACTTTCAGCTATGGCTTATCAGCCAAGCGAACAGGGCAAATATCCTAAAATATTGTTGCCAATCTTCACAAGCAACGTCAGTTCTAAAAGAAATCACGAATACAATAATTTGTTGTTACATTACAGAATAGAATTAAGAGCGAGTCATCAACATGACGCTAAGTCTCGGCAAAAATATGAACAAGTGGGTTCTAGACTCTAGAGGATTGATTGTGTTGGTTTTCTGCGAGATGCATCGTCAATTTTTGAATTGGCTCCTATGTACACAAAAATCTACAGGGCACCATGAGTTCTGTCAATTCTCACCCATCAATCAATCACGAAACAGCAAATCCCCGCAAGGAGCAGAGGTAGTACCATCATCACTCGGCGGCATCCGGCTGCTGTGCTGCCCGGCGCGACGACCGCGGGAAAGGCCGCACGCGGGGCGACGGCGAGAACTCCACCGGCGCCGGCGGAAGTTCCATCTCGCCGTCGAGGATCTTGACGATGTCCGTGCTGTCCGGCCGGAGCTCCGGCTGCCGCTGCAGGCACAGCAGCGCGAGCTGCACGCACTTGGTGGCCTGGTCCCTGTCGTACCCGCCGTCCAGCCGCTCGTCCATGAGCTCCAGCACGTTCCCGGCGCGCGCCAGCTGCCGGCACCAGCTCACCAGGTTAGCTTTCTCGAGCTTCATCGGCGACGAGAGGATGTGCAGCGGCCGCCGACCGGACAAGATCACCAGCACGAGCACGCCGAAGCTGTACACGTCGGCCTTCTCCAGCAGCTCGCTGCCGTGCTCGCAGGGCCCGCCGCCGCACTCCGGCGCAACGTAGCACACCGTGCCGCGCATGCTCGTCGTGCTGCTAAACTCCCGGCTGAGGTAGTCCCCGCCGCATCCGCTGTGGACGTCGCTGCCCACTGACCGACCGCGACGCCGGCTCCGCTTCCGGCTTCTCCGGAAGCTGAGGTCCGCAGCGCTCGGCTCGACATTATTGCTCTCGCCGTTGGTGTTGCCGTGCCCCGTGTTCATGCTGATCGAACGGAGCCACGGCCTGCCGCCGCCGCCGCGCCGTTTGTCGAAGCTTGCTCCCTGCTTCTTGCTCATCTCTTCAAAGAACTCCTCTTTCCACCACTCCCTCATCTTGGTCACCTCCTTCTTGGCGCCGTCGACATTGCCATTGCCATTGCAGTCGGTGTTCTTCTTGTCCTCCGGCGACGCTGACAAAGCGTTTTCGTCCGTACCCGAGGGAGAGTTCTTATGCTCGTTGGCGTCGTCATCGTTCTCGTCGGCCCAATCCAGGTTCCTCTCCGGGCAGATTTGGCTACCAATCCACTCGGCGACGTAGTCCCTCGAGTCAAGCTCACCGCTACCATCCTGCTTCCACCACCATTCCTTCCCCCACGCACCAGCCGGGCCCGACTCATCCTTTGTGTCCGTTTTGGCCCCGCCGGCAGCGGAGGCGGTGGTAGAGAGGTGGTCGCCGGCCTCGCCGAGTTCTTGGCTCATGAAATCGTCCCCGGCAGCGCCAGACGCGGCGACGGCATCGGGGGTCTTGAAGCGCGCGAGGCCGAAATCGGCGAGCTTGGCGCGGAAGTTAGCATCGAGGAGGACGTTGCTGGGCTTGAGGTCGCCGTGCACGACGGGCGGCTGGCACTCAACGTGGAGAAAGGCGAGCGCGCGCGCCACGTCGCGGATGATGGCGAGCCGCTTCGGCCAGTCCAGGAACTGCCCGTCGCGGGCAGCGGCGTCGCCGCCTCCGAACAGCGCGCCCTGGAGGGAGCCCTGGGGCATGTACTCGAAGACAAGGAGGAGCGGGCGCTCGGCAGCGCCGCCGCCGGAGCCAGAGCCCGAGCCCGAGCCGGGTGAGTAGCCATGGAGGGAAACGAGGCGAGGGGATTCAGGGAGCGACGCGAGGAGGTGGAGCTCGTGCGGCGACGCGCACGTCTTCACGGCGGCGAGCGAGGCGTCGGGGAAGGTGGCGAGGTAGACGGGCGAGGCTGCGCCGCGGCCGAGGAGGCGGGACGGGTGGAACCCGCCCGTGGCGCGGCGAAGCGTGCGGCGGGAGTAGCGCCGGAGCGGGCGCGCCGGGTCCGGCGGCGGGGAGAACGGGAGCGTGGGGTGCCGGAGCCGCCGCCGCCGGAGGAGGAGGACGACGACGACGACGACGAGCAAGAGTAACAAAGCTGCCGCGGCCGCCGCGGAAGCGATGGTGGCGGCGAGGAGGGCGTGGCGGCGGTGTTGGCTCTTGGCAAGCAGGGGAGGCGGCGGTGGCGCAGGTGGAGAGAGTGGCTGCTGGAGAAGGCGGGAAGGCATGGCAGTGGGCGGCGACGCGGGGCGGCTGGCGCAACGTGGTGTCGCGTCGCGTGCGTGGAACTGATTGGGGTGGCGGGTATTGGACTAGAATAGCAGGGACAGGGAACAACATCCCTGTTCTTTTCTTTTCTGTCCTGTGTACTTCATCTTTACCGTCTGACAATAGAAAATTAAGGTTGAGACCTTTTGATTTTTTTCCCTTACTTTTTTGTGTTTTCGTATGAAGATGAACTGATTTCTATGAATTTTCTCGATGATTCATGTCAAATAATGTCCTTAGAAACGTTTAGTCGATCGTCTAGAGCCATACGATCACAATCATAAGGCCCAAACAATATTGTGGTATCGATGATTCATGTTAAAAGCGAAACACCTACGGTAACTTCGCCAATCTCATCAATCTATGGTCTCAATCTCTTGGAGATTCTCTTAGTGATAGGGTGCGCCATGTGCATGGGATAAGTGTACGTGTGCATATGTAAGCGTCTCGGTCTACATTGTGCTTTGCCAAAAAAAAAATGAGAGTAAAAAATAATTAGTTTCTATTAGCTATGGGTGTAGTAAGTTTTTGACACTTATATTTATATACAAAATTATGTGTAAAAGCAAAGGTTCAAGAACTAGTGTCCAAAGCGATAACCTTTTGTCTTAGTGTTCGTCTTCTCAATTGCTACGGCAACTAGCGCCATGCAAATGCCTCTAATCATCACCATGATGCCATGATTTCCATGTGTTATCATCATAGTCCTGTTCGCTTGGCTGATAAGCCATGACTGAAAGTACTGTTGGCTGATTTATTATGAGAGAAAAATATTATTTGTTGGCTGAAAAAGTACAGCTTATAAGCCAAGCAAACAGGACGCTAAATTGAGGCCTTGCATATCGATGTTTTCTATTGTCGATCCTCTTGTTAATCGTGTATTAAGGGGTAGTGTCTCATTAGGCTTGTGAATCCATCCCTAAATGCTCATAGCCCTATACTAGGCCTCTCTTACAAATCAGTAGTATGTGAAATAAGGGGGTCTTAAGTTGTGCAAGGCCAACATTAAATGCTATACAAGCATCACTGTGTCTCCAGCAACCGTTACCCAAAATATAAGACCCATTTCATGTTTGGGTAGCACTACAAGTAAAGGGTTCAATATTCATTTTTGGTCTTCTCCAACAATAAGACTCAAAAGAGAATCATTTTTCTGTAAATGGGTCTCCAGGAGAGAGGATACTCATATTTGGGTTATACCACTCCTGACACCTAAAATAGGTCTTCCATATAGGTACTCTGTTAGATGCTGTAAGTATTGTGTTGGAGACCCATTTTAGGCTTAGGTCTCATGTCGGAGACAACCTGAGAAGATACTAAACACAAAAACCAGCCCTAAGCTAAAGATACAGTCTCAAAGACTAAAATACACTTGCTTTCTTTGATTCTTGTCTCTTCCCCCTCATTGTCAAACTACCCCAACAAACATAGCTGCTATCATTCTCGGTTTCTAGAACTACTAGAAACGGCTTTAGTTCTTCTGTTCCAAAATAGAAGACATTCTCGCTTATCAAGAAGTCAACCTTTTTTTAACTTTAACCAATTATATATAAAAATATTAATATTTATAGTACATAATTGAATCTCTACTCTCGTGCTCGACAATGTCCAAGAAAATGGGCAAATAGGGTAGGTAGCATATTGAACACGAATTGTAAGTTCTCGCTTGCCCAACTCTGACCGTGTGGGTTCCTACGAATTATTGTAGGGTATCATTAGATAGATCATTAAATATACTTTCATAATAAACATATTTGTATATATAAATATTACATGTATTTTTTATGAACCTAGTCAAACTTCACTTCTTTAGAAAAACCACGTTTCAAACTTCATGCACATAATAGCTTGGGTTCACCTGTCTTTTTTTTTTCTTCAGAAGCCATTTGCTCCATACGTTTGGTGGGTTTTTTATTGAACCGTTGGACAAGCTAAAAGAAAAACCCTACCAAAGAGTATTATTGGAACAAATTTTGGGATTACGGTTATTGTATATATTTTATATTAAAATTGTAAATTCCGCTTACTGCAATTTCTATTTTGGTATCGAGAATAAAAAACTGTTAGACAAAATTACAAATCCAACAAAATCTGATTTGTATTGACACAAAGGCAATTAACAATTTTGCAATTATTTCTATAGGAAGACAAGGACAAAAGTTTAATGTGCTATGACACAAAGACAAATAGCAAATAACAAAAGTAACAATTTATTTGTACTAATTGACAGTATAAGAGTGTTGTCTGAAATCAACTTAAAATTCAGGCATCTGAAATATACTCCCTCCGTCTCAAAATAGAAGTCGTTATGGGATACGTGCAGGTCAAACTTTCTCAACTTTGACTAGATTTGTAGAAAATACGATCTACCTAATGATACTAATTATGTATTATAAATATTAATAATATATATATATATATATATATATATATTGATTAAAGTTAAAAGTGTTTGCCTTCTCGGGAAACGAGAATAATATCTATTTTGGGACTGAGGGAGTAAGAGAAGTGCATTTTTTTTTACGGTAGGTGTATTTTGTTTCTCGTTTCCACAGGGAGAAGGTGGTCACCTAGCTGAAGCAAATCTCCAACATCCAAAAACGGACGTGGGAGTACCGCGTAGCCTCTCTCGCTGTCGACGTGTTTGCTCTCCCCATGCAACTTCACTCCAATGTCCCTCGAAAAAAACTCCACTCCAATGTGTACACGCAGGTGGCTCGAGAGCGCAGCGGATTGAACATGGCCTGCCCCGACGACCAGTAGTGTTTCGAAGCGATCACGAGGCCCGAGGCGGGACGTAGGCGGTGGGCTTCCGGACAAGGGAATAATAAAGGGAGTGGCCGACAACGACCTCCCGTGAACCACCCCATCATCTCATGATCCCAGTTCCCATACCGGCCGGGGAGCAGCAGCGCCGTGACGGAGCTGGAGGGCAGCAGGCTCGCGCCACCGCTGCGGGCCTCTACTACCTCCTGTCCTCCTCGGCTGCAGTGCTTCGTTCGGTCCACGAGATCTCTGATCTCCTCCGGAGTCCGGACCACAGTAGTACTCCTACTACAGAGGGCCAAGCGCGCGTTTATTTATGTGCGTATGGCTCAAGGAGATCCACCCATCTTTTAATTTGTTCACACATGATTGAATTGGATCCCATGATCCCACCCATTTGGATTGTGTTAACGTTTCCGTTTGGATTCTCTTGCAAATGCCGCTGCCTTTTTAGGGCGGTTAAACGACACGCTATTAACCTAGTAAAAGAGGATTCGTCAACTTTTCTTTTACAGATGAGATGGTGCACTGCGTGAGTTGTTAAACAGCATGTTCGAGAGGCCGTATCGTATCGTGGATTATTTATTGTTGGCTGAATTTAGTGTGAGAGAAAAACACTATTCTCAACTAAAAATTTACGATTGTTTACGAGCAAGCGAACAGGCTGAAAATGCATGGATCTAGTAGTACAACATTCCATGGATTTGACGGGATGTCGAATCCGTGCCTGAAAAAGAAATCGTCTGTCGGCTGTACCTCATGGGGGCCCTATACAAACAGTCTCAAACAAACCCAAAGAAAAGCAGCGAGAGGAAATCATGCGCATGCGTCGACGAAATCGTTGCAGGAGAAGAAAATGCTTATGCTCGTGGTATGATGTACTACGTATACAAAGTGAAATCGTTGCTCGGACGGTTGGTGTGGCAGTGACTTGTACCAATGGTAAGTACAGTACAAGTTTACTCTGGGCGTGTTTGTGACGGTGGTTCAGGCCAGCTCGGCCCGTCCGTCAGGCCCAGGCCAGCCGAGGCCAGTCCCAAGTGGTGTAACTGCACTTGTTTGGTAACGTGACCCAGCAGAGCCGAGCTCGATTGTGATCGTGTTTGTTTTGCCTGTACAGATGGATGCGGTGACCCTGGACAGAATGTGGTAACATTACCCCCACACGTTGTCACTGCCATTTCATCGAACACGCAAATGCAAAAGGCATGGACTCACCCACCTCGGCCAAGAAGCCGCCGCCGCTACCCTTCTTCGGCCCATTGCGCACTGTGGAGGAAGAAGATTGGGAGGGAGAGGGAGAGGTCGAGCGAAGCCAATGCCTCCACCTCGCCGTAGTGGCTACCACCAGCGCAGCAGCGACCCGCCATGTCCGCTACCGACGCCAAGGAACGAGGCCTGCGGGGTTCACCGGACAGGGCCGGAGCCGAGGAAGGAGAGGCCGTGAGTAGCCACGGTAGGGTAGGGGCCGGGCGGGCGCACACAATGGCGAGCTGTCGTTCGGGCGCCCGAGGCAGCAGCCGGAGCTTCGCCAAAGGCGCGCCAAGCAAGAAGCTGCTTGAGCCCCTACGCGCGACGCCGGCGGCGGCGACTCACTTGACGCCGCACCGGGGCGACACTAGAGCTGGGAAAAAGTACGCGTGTCGCGCGGCCATGAAGGGAGCAGCGCCAATAAGCGGTGGAGGCGGCCCTACCCAAGACGCTTTCATGCGAGGAAGCTGTTGGTAGCGGCGGCGAGCTCCTGGAACGGGTAGAGGACAGGCGGGTCCATGAGCGAGGTGAGCGCTGCGGCGAGGGAGGCGCGGCCGGAGGAGGTGGAGGACGACGAGGTGGCGCCGCGCCGCCGCGCGCTGGCCGTGCCCGTGCCCGTGTCGGCGTTGGACGCTGGGGAGAGGAGCGGAAGGTGAGGGAAGGGAGAAGAAGGTAACCGTATCAGTCACGGAGCGCTCGAGGGAGCCGGTCCGTGAAAAAAATGAAGGGAGACTTCGTTTTTCTGGGGCCTGGCCCAAGCTGCTTTAGATCTCGTGCGGGCCAGGCTCTGAAGTTGGGCCAGGTGCGCCAAACATGGAAGGTTACAGCCCGAGAGCGCAGCCGGGCCGTCGGGCCACCCTCACAAACGCGCCCTCTGTTACTGAACCTGCGTCCCTACCCACGGGGCACTACTAAGGTGGGACACGACAGGGCTGACAGCGAG